AGCTCCTCTGGGCCGGGTTGTGTCACTGTATCTGGCCGGGACCTAGCCCTTGGCAGACCAGTGTGTGTCCTTTAGGGACAAAACAGTCTGTCCTGCAGAAGGAGGTCACTGATAGGTCAACTTAGTCGTACAGGACATAGGCCTCAGGCTCAAGTCTTTGTGCCACAAACATTTATGACATGCCAACTGGGTGCGGGGCGCTGAGCTCTGCCAGTGTGGGGCCAGAGGTGGACGGGACAGACTCTCTCTCGAGCCTCTTGGAGTCTGCAGACCGACGTAGACACAGACAAGAAGCCAACGATGACGGGACTGACTATGTCACTGCAAATGGGGGAGGTGCCGGGAGGAGGAGGAGGGCAGAGCAGGAGACAGGCTCCACGTGTCCTGTCTGGAGGGCTTCCCAGAGCAAAAAGGAGAGTTAGGGGTTCGCTTGAGGAAAGGTGGTGGGGAGGGATGGGGGGACGGGTCCCAGGCAGAGAGATCAGCACATGCACAAGCCAGAGGCGAGAGTGCTGGGTGTGCAAGCAGTGTCTGGGTGCAGGGTGTGTGTGTGTGAGTGTGTGTGTGTGTGGGGGGGGGTGCTTGCTCACTAGGAACTGTGTTCATGACTCAGAGAGCCTTCCTGTGTATCCTGTCTGGGGGCCACAGATACAGGAAGGTGGTGCAAGTCCCGGCTGAGAGAGTGACTCGTGCTGCCTCGTGGATGAAACCCCGAACGTTGTGTAAGGGACGGAAGCCAGGGAGCGTGTGATTCCATTGATAAGAAGTGTCCGAAACAGGCAAATCCACAAAAACCGAAAGTGGAACTCCTGGTCGCCAGGGGCTGGGGGAGGGAGGTGGCGAGTGACTGACTGCTCCTGAGTTTTCCTTTTGGGGTGATGGAATGTTCTGGAGCCAGACCGTGGCGATGATTGCACAACTTTGTGTGGAATTCTAACCATCACCGAATTACCCTTTAAAGGGGGGAATTTTATGGTGTGTGAACGATTTTATGGTATATATCGCAATAATATGTAAATATAAATAGATATCAAGTCCTAAGTCTGCAGCCCACAGGCGGGGGCTTGGTCCAGGCCGGGACTCGGTCGGCATCCGGCCGTGCGCCCTGTGCAGGCGGCTGCTGCTCGCTGAGCCCATGCGGATATAACAGGCCCTATTGTGTGTGGTGGTGGTGAGGATGAAGAGATACCGGGGGGCAAGGGCTGGCCCAATGCCCCATCCGTGATTTTTATTTATTATTTTTTACATTTTTATTTCTTGATTTTTTTAGAGAGAAAGGAAGAGGTGGAGGGAAGGAGGCAGGGAGGGAAGGAGAGAGAAGGAGACATGCATTCATGGTTGATTCTTGTATGTGCCCCGACTCTCATCACCTGGGCATATCGGATGATGCTCTAGCCCAGTGGTTCGCAAGCCGCGGCTCGCGGGCCACATGCGGCTCTTTGGCCCCTTGAGTGTGGCTCTTCCACAAAACACCACGGCCTGGGCGAGTCTATTTTGAAGAAGTGGCGTTAGAGGAAATTTAAGTTTAAAAAATTTGGCTCTCAAAAGAAATGTCAGTCGCTGTACTGTTGATATGTGGCTCTGTGGACGAATGAGTTTGCCCACCACTGGACTAACCAACTGAGCTACCCGGCCAGGATTTGTCAGTGATTTTTCTATTGCTCCTCCCAACATCACTGCCCTACGTGTCTGTCTCCTTCCTGGCCCCCATAGGAGCCTGGTCCGCAAGTCCAGGGTGTGTTAAAGGCTTCATGATGTGCTCACAAGGCCATTCCCTCTTCTCCAGGCAGGGAGGGTTCAAGGACATAGCTGGAATCCTACAACCTTTGAGGCCTAATGCATTGACGCATCAGTCACCATGCGTGTGATTCTGTGTCTATGGTGTATGTGTACACAGGTAGGTATGTGCGGGAGAGAGGAGGTGGGTCTATTGGACAGACATGGAAAGGCAGCTCAGAGAAGCTAAGCAGCTGGCCCCAGGGGGTGGGGGGTGTGGCGGGCTTGAGCAGGTCCAGTGTGTGTGGCGTTTGGGGAGCTGTGTGCATGGCTCCAGGGATGTGTGTATCTGCACAGTGGGGGTGGGGGGGTGCCTGCATGCATGTGTGTCTTGGGCCCATGAGTGTAGGTGTGGACACAGGCAGCATGGGTACCCCAAGGTGAGCATGCACTCCAGCCACCCCAGCTGGGGGAAGCGTGTCTGCACCCAGAGAAGCCCCCGCCGCTGTGACTGAGCCTTGGTGCCGGCGGCAATCTCTCCCTGGACCGCCATGAGCGCTGGTGTCGGGACAGGAAACAGGGGTGGTGAGCCCCGTTCCCACCATCACCCCAGCGGCTGACTAGCCAGTTACCCACAATGCAAGACTCCAGGCCTCCACGCTGGGCCTCGGTCTCCCCTTCTGGACAAGGGGACACCAGCTCTGTCCTGGTGGGAATGAGGTTCTGTAGGCAGGGGAGACGGAACGGCTGCTGTTACCTCAGTGAAAGGGCAGCGTTCGAAGCAGATTTCTGGACATCTGTGGGTCCAGTCAGGAAGACTTACTTCTTTTATTCATGACAGCAGCAATGAGACCGGCAGCAATAACAATAATGGTAACAAGAGTGATGGCCCTGGCCCTGGTCAGGATGGAGCCTCCTCCCTTACACCAAAAGGATGTGGGCAGCTATGAGAGGCAGCCCCTCCATGTTTCCCTCTCACAGTGATATTTCTCCCTTTCTCTCTCCCTTTCTCTCTCCCAACATTAATTAAAAATAAACAACAACAACAGCAAAGTATGTCCTCCTGTGAGGATGTTTTCTAAGTACAGAAATTTAAAAAAGAGAGTCACAGCCCTCAGCGTTCATGCTGATGAGGGTGCACAGAGTCTGGGGTCCGAGCCTTCACGTGTCCACCTGCAAACGGAATGCCCGGTTCCAGGAAGATGGGGACAGGGCCGCTGAGAGGTGCTGCAGCCTGAGGCAATGTCGATCTTATCTTGGTTTACAATTTTGTTTCCAGGGAGTTCTCTCTCTGTTTTTCTGTTTGCATTTCAGTTTGTCAAATAGCGCTTTGACACGGTCTTCAGCTTGCTGACTGAATTTTTGGACGTTGTTCTCCTCCGTTTTGCTCGGAGACATTTGTGTCTCCCTGGCCTCGCCCTGGTCTCTGCCGGGCTGGTTTGCAGGGCGGCTGTGAAAGTGGCGATAATGGCGAACGGCTTTTTTATACTTTCTATACTGACCTCAGAAATATATATTTCCTTGAACCTCTGCAACAAGCGATCGGCAGGCAGCATTATGCCCCATTTTGCAGCCGGGAATCAGGCAGAGGGAGAAGAGGGAACCTGTGGCCACGGAGCCAGAGTCCCACCCAGACCTGCTGTTTCCTGGGGGCCCAGAAGCCGGAGTCTTTCTATCTCCTACTGCACGGGGGACCCAGCGATGAGAGGGTCAGAGGTCACTCGGCCCTCCCGGACGGCCAGGGTCACCATGGGGACGGAGTGGCCCGTGCCTATCAATGGGCAGGACCTGCAGGGACGGGCCTCCCTGGAGGAGCCGACCTAACGCGGACAGCCCGAGCTCCAGGCCACCCGGCTGACCTTTGTCTGTGCCAGTCCTTCCCCCGTGGGCCCCCCTCAGGGGGATCCCTCCACCTCTGTTCCCCGCTGCCCTGGTCTCTTCCCTCTCCAGCTCCTTCTCAGGGATCTCCTCCCCTTCCACCCCACACACACCCCGAGTACCCCTTCCTTCCACCGGAGCTTCCGTCTGGCCTTCCCACTTGTCTCCCGCACCCCCTACAGATTTATTTCAGCCCCTCCGTGTTCCCTCTGCCTCACCCTCACCCCTGTGCTCCCCAGACGCCCTCTCCAGGGTTTGGGTCCCCCCCTCTTAGCACCTCCCCTCCCCCACCCTCAGCAGGTGCTCCTCTGCCCTCGTACCCCAGGCTCCCCACTCTCTCAGGGCTCCCTCCCCATGAGTGCTCTCCCCTTCTCCCAGCCCTCAAAGGGCTGCCGCCCCTCCCCCTCCCCCTCCCCCTGGGAGTTCCCCTCTTCCTCTCGCTCACACTCATCCTCCCCCTCGGGCTCCCCCGCCCCATGACTCCTGAAGGGCCGCTGGGGCTTTCCTCTGCCCACGTGGGCTGGTGGAAAGGTCTTGGCTGCGGTGGGACTCCCCACTCCGTGCCCACAGGTCCCGGGCCAGGCACCTGGCAGGGGCCGCGGTGGCCCTGGTGAGCCCCCCTGACGGAGGCCCCTCCCGCTCCGGCGGCCGGAGGCGGCCGGAGGAGGGGCTGTCCTTGCGTGTAACTCAGAGAACAGGGAGGTGGCCGCCCCTACTACAGTTTCGGTTTAGAGGCGAAATGCAGCAACATGCCAAGCCCAGCTGGGCCAGGAGCAAAACTTCCTGGAGTCCTTTCTGCTTGTTGATTTTAGTTTTGGGGAAAGGTTTGTTTTTTAGTTGTTGTTTTTTCTTTTGGGAAGAAGCCCATCCTTGTAGGGAGAAGGCCTGGGTAGGGGCACCCTGGGAGGGTGGGGGGTGTCACCAGAGGAACGCTCCCAGCAGGTCCAGCCTCGCCCAGAGGCTCTGAGGAGCCGTCTGGCTGCAGGTCACAGGTGCCCCTGACCTCTCTGGACCTTGGCCCCGCCGGTGGCTGTGCAGGCTGCAGCCTCCCCCCCATTGTATCTGAATGTGCCCAGAGCTGGGGCTGGCTCCAGCACAGCCTGTACCAGCAGTGGCACGGCGGCCAGGTTTCGTAATAAACCGGTCTTTTAATTGCTACATGGCAGGAGGAGGGAGAATTAAAAAAAAGAGGCAAAGATTTGTTGGACTTGGGTGGCGCCGGCTGCAGAGAGAAGAGGCTCTGTTGTTGAGGAGCCTGGAGCTGCGAGCAGGGACTTAAGTAACATTTCCTGGTGAGCTTGCAAGAGGGGCTGGGGGCAGGGCTGCTGCAGTGTGAGGGGCGGGCGGGGCAGGGGGAGGGAAAGAGTCCTGGGAACTCCTGGAAGCAGCACGCACACAAGAACCCAGAAGCTTTAGAAATTTATTACAAGGTCATCGTCACCATAGACGTAAAATAGATGTATCTGTAAGCTTCCGGCCTCTCTCAGTGGTTCAAGTCACAGTGCACGTAACAAAATAGATCGTCTATGCAGTTTGCAAACTGGGAGTCCGTGGGTGCCGAGCGACCTCGGCCCCAGTCCCCAAGTCCCCAAGTCTAGTTCTGGCGAGGGCTGGACCCTCGTCCGTCCGCCAGGCCCGTTTGCGTTTGCTCCGGCCTCTGGGCGCATGGGGGTGCCATCGGCGGCACCGCCCGGGGCGCGGGAGTGCGTGTCCTCTCCCCCTGCAGCTCCTGCGCCGTCGGCCTGAGCTCCGGGCCCCCTCCTGCAGGCCGAGCTCCCTGTCTCCTCTCGCCCTGGCCGCCGCTCCAGGCTCGGCTGCTCCCGGGGCTGTGCACGCCCCTCTCCCTCCGTGTCTCCAGTCTCCAGTGACGCTGCCCCCGATGGTCTCGCAGGTTAGTTTGTTTGGGGGGAGTTGTTCTGGGCGGAGGGGCGTGTCAAATATTTATTTTAATTTTTTTTTGGCAGCAAGTTGACAGGTTGTGATGCCGGGCGGGGCTCAGCGCTCCTGCAGGGAGATGTACGGGACCCACTGGTTGTTACCCCGGCTCTCTTCGCAGTAGCTGGCTACCTCCACCAGGCTGTGGCTCTTCCAGGCGTCCGTGTGCGGGTTCTGAAGAAGGGGAGGGAGAAAGACCGGGTTCAGGGGGAGCCTCCCGGCCCAGGCCCCTGTGGGGAAAACAGGCTGGCTCAAAATAGCTCGCGGGGTGATGAGGCCGCTGCGGCTGCCCACGGGACATGCCTGGCGTGGCTGAGCCCTGAGCTGGTGCGCCCCGCCAGCTCAACTTTGTTGACAAACACGGGGCCCAGGTACGGGGCGGGGCAGGCCGGGGAGGCCCAGCTCACCGTGACCAGGAGGCAGTGCAGGTCCCGCGCCTCCGTGGTGCCCTGGGTCTCCGCGGGCTCGCCCAGCAGCTGGGCCAGGCGTTGCATGCCAGACACCCGGACGATGTTGATGTCGTTGTCACAGCAAAAGGACTGGATGAGGGTGAAGTGGATCTGCAGAGCGATGTCATCCTCCTCCTCCTCGTCGATGGCCAGCAGGCACAGGACGACGCAGTCAGGGTCCCTGAGGGGCCAAAGGAGGGGTTCGGGTCAGCTGGGGGCCTGGGAGGTAGGGGAGGGGAGCCCACCATGCACAGGGGAGTTTGCATAAACAAAGAGAAACCGCAGGTCTGCAGGGGGCAGAGTATGCATGCAGCTGGAGGGGGGCGGGGACGCAGGGGAAGATAAAGTAGGAGCATAATGGGGGAGGGGGGGTGGACGCTTGCAAATGATGCAGCGTCAGGACACTGCAGCTTCCCCAACCACACACCCACACACACACACACAGGTTCTCCGTGCGTAGTGGGGACCTTTGGGGAAGTCCCAGCTCCGAGCAGGAGAGGAGTGCAGCAGGGAGCGTGCAGAGCGCGGGAGGGCTCTCCCGCCCGCACCGGGCGCGGGGACGGGGTCTGACTCACACATTCATCAGCTTGGCCGACTCGTACACCCCCACGGTGAGGCGATCCTGGCGCTGCGCGGCCACCAGCAGCTCCTCCACCGCGGCGCTCACCGTCTGCATCCTGGACCAAGGGAGAGGGGGAGGGGGTCAGCGCCGGCCGGGGGCGCCGGGCGCGCGGCCCCCGCCCGGCCCGCGGACTGCAGCCTCTACTCACTTCTGCGCCGCGTTGTCGCACGCCACCAGCTCTTCCAGGGTCATGTTGCAGTTATAATCCACAGTGGAGCGCGGCCCGCGGCGGTCCCGGGGGGCAGAGCGCAGACTCCGGGGCCGGGGAGCCCGAGACACTTTCCCAAGGAGAGTTCGGGAGACAGCGACGCCAGCCCCGCGGCAGGCAGACCAGGGGAAGCTGCGAGGTCCTCGGCGGGAGTAATCCAGGGTTTGGGGAGAGAGGTGACGGCCCGGCTCCTCCGCGTCAGCGATCTGGTCCCGCCGCGCCCGGCGCCGCCCTTTAAAGACTCGTGCAAACGGGGCGTGGCCTCCGCCGCCGTCAGCCCCGCCCACCGGGGAGCCCGCAGCTGCGATTGGGTGGCGCTGGGAGAGGGGCGGGGCGCCGCGTGGGGGGGTGCCCCACGTGGGCGCCGGGAGGAGGGCGCCTGGGGAGCGTGAGTGCCAGAAAAGGGAGAGAAAAAAAAGCAGAAGTTTTTCTCCAGATTTCCCGGCAGCCGCGCCGCGTTTCGGGGCGCGCGCGGGATTTCCAGCGCGCGAGGCGGCCCGGGTTTTCGGGGGGAGAGGGGGGGCCGGGGAGCCTGGAATCCCCTCCCAGTCCCCGGAGAGTCCCGGGCCCGCGGGTTTCCCGGGTTGTGCAGGGGGCTTGCAAGAAGAGAGGGCCCGGCTTGCAGCCCGATCCCTCCCAGGGGGTGGGGGTGGCGGTGCTTTCCCCCAGTCTGAGACCCTTAGCCGCCGGGTGATTTCACTTCCCGAGGCCTCTGTGTCCCTCCCTGTCTATGGGCAGGCAACGCCAGCCCCCCTTGGGTTGGAGGGAGCGATAAAAAAATGGGGGAGGGGGAAGAGGTACACATTAAGTGCTTAATAAACTGTGGTGGTCGCGGGAGTCGCCCCGGAGTCCCCCATGTTGGGGGCTGCTTCCCACCTGTGCTAGGAGAATGCACCCCGGCTTCGGTTGCAGGAAGAAGCATGACATAAAATCCGGGGTACACAAGAAGTCTTAAATAAAGGTCAGCTGGTGGTCGCAGGAGGTCGCCTCGAGGTCCCCAGGAGCAGGGGCTGCAAAGTCCGAGGCGCCCCGGGGGCGAGCCCGCGCTCCCGCTCCCCACCCGCAGAGACTGTCCGGGGAGGAAGCGCGTGGGAGGCGCAGGTGGCCGGGCCTCTGCGCGCCGCGCGCCCCCTGCCGGCGACTCCGCTCCACCGTTGGACAGCACCTGGCCCCTGGGCCTGGGTAGGAATCAGGGTCGGGGAGAAAGCCTGGGGGGAATGGTTCGGGCTCGCGCCTCGCGCTGTCACCTAGGATTCCCTTGCAGTCATAGGCGCCACTTTTGTTTCCTCCGTCCAGGGTGAGCTCTGCTCTGTGTTTCGTGCGGAGTGTACCCGGCTCACTGTATCGTAGTCCATTCAATCCTCAAGGACCCAGGGAGCGGGGGCTGCACTTATGTGCACGATGCAAAGGGGGAAACGGACGCCGCCGCTCCCTCAGGCCACTGGCTGCTTGTCCTGTGGCCACACGTGTGCGCTGGGACGGCTGCACGTGGGGACGCCTGCCAGCTCCACAGTCTCCCCAGGAGGGCGGCTCACGAGCCAGGCGGGCAGGCCTGCGGGGGACGGTCTCCCACGGCCGATCGGGGGCTCCCGGGTGACTCACAGCCGTGTCCCCTCCCCCGCCAGCCTGGGGTCTGGACTCAGCCCCGACGCCCGGTTCCCCAGACTCCCCCGCCCAGCCCGGGACCGGATCGATGCATCACGCCGCCTCCGCACCGCCCACCTTGGAGTCGCTAAAGGTCTCTGGCGCTGAGAGGCGTGGCGTCGCCACCTGGTGGCCGATGTGGGTCTCTGCGCCTGCAGCGACGTAAGGCATAGACCCGCAGGGGCGGGGTGAAGAGGGCTGGGTGACAGTTGGAATATTTCATATACACAACATGTTACCCATGCAACGTGTATTTAATAATGTCAGAATGCAATGTACTTTAAAAATCAACATTCATGCAAAAAAATCCATGATGCACAAAATATCAAGGTTTTTAAATGTACCTGGACAAGGGCCAGGACATAGGGGAAGGCCAGGGAGGTGAGCTGTGCAGGTGCAGGACCAATCCTGTTTATTTACAATTTTTTAAAAAGTGTTTTGTTGCCCTGACCGGTTTGGCTCGGTGGATAGAGCTTTGTCCTGCGGACTCAGGCGTCCCAGGTTCGATTCTGGTCAAGGGCATGTGCCTTGGTTGCAGGCACATCCCCAGTGGGGAGTGTGCAGGAGACAGCTGGTCGATGTTTCTCTCTCTTCGATGTTTCTGGCTCTCTGTCCCTCTCCCTTCCTCTCTGTAATATCAATAAAATATATATTTTTAAAAGTGTTTTGTTTATCATGGATTTTTGAGTTGGTTTTGATTTTTTCAACTATTTCATGTAAATATTTACCTTAATGATTGAGTTTTTTGGTGCCACTTTAAATTTTGCTCCTGAGGCCAGCGCCTCGCTCACCTTACCCTAGGGATGCCCCTGTCTGCCTCAAGAAGCGGTAACTCGCTGAAACCGGTTTGGCTCAATGGTAGAGTGTCGGTCTGCGGACTGAGGGGTCCTGGGTTTGATTCTAGTCAGGGGCATGTACATTGGTTGCGGGCACATCCCGAGGGGGGGGGGGGGTGCAAGAGGCAGCTGGTCGATGTTTCTCTCTCATCGACGTTTCTAGCTCTGTCTCTCTCCCTTCCTCTCTGTAAAAATCAATAAAAATATATATTTTTTTAAAAGAAGCGGTAACACACCCACCGGGTGGAGGTGCCCCACGACCCCCTCTTTGGAGAATGCGTGAAGCAGGGACTGCCCCAGTGAGAAAAAACGGGAACACCGTACCCACCTTGCCAATGAGAATCTCTAAGTGTAATTACTCTTTTTATGAATGTTGCATTGTATTGAAGATACCAATGTGAGCAACATTCGTGTTTTATTTATTTACTTATTTTTGGAACAAACATGTACTGAGAACTTAGCAGGCAAGCATTGCATGAGCAGTTTCTACCTCAATGCCCCTGGGAGCGCTGGGGTGGCGGTTCCAGGTTTGCCGAGGAAGAAACAGAGACTCAGGAAGACTGTTATGGGGGGGAGGGCGGGAAGCTGAAGTCCCCAAGATGGGGAGGGTTTGAGAGAGGATGTTTGGAGTCTACGGGAGAGGGTTGGGGGTGTGGGTCAGGGGGTCAGACTGGGGTCAGACAAAGCAAAGTGAGCCTGAGGGATGAGTATTTGTTTTCCTGTCAGAGGCACAGCCCAGACAAAGGCTTGGCTTCTGGAGAAGGACTGCTGTGTCTGATGCAGAGGAAGGAGCTGGACACGTAGTCTCGGAGGCCCTGCTTTGCCCTCCTTAGCTGAGGAGCATTCAAACGTTAGGGGGGAAAGTTAAGGAGGCTGAAAAAATTCAGTAGCAAGACAGTGTTTTTTTCTCACTGTTTAAAATTAAGATGTAATTCACATACCATGTAATTCGCCCTTTTAGAATGTTCTGGAGGGGTTTTGGGTAGTCACAAGTTTATGCAACTGTCACCACTTCTCCAGAATGAGATTACATATTTACACTGAGTGACCAGATTATTATGATCTCTGCACACACTGTGTGTGTGTGTGTGTGTGTGTGTGTGTAATAAAAGGGTAATATGCTAATTAGACCAGCCGTCTTCCGGATGTCCTTCCTAATGAAGCCGGGGCTGGAGGGAAGCCAGCCCGGGTCCTGGGTGCCTATGGGAAGCCAGAGGAGAGAAGCCCGGGTCCCAGTGCGAGAGGGAAGCTGGTGCAAACAGTAGGGGAAGGAAGGACTACTCTTGCACGATTTTTGTGCATCAGGCCCCTAGTGTATGAATTCATGCATGCCTGGTGCATGAATTCATGCATGAGTGGGGTCCAGCCAGCCTGGCCAGGGGGAGGGGACATGGGCAGTTGGCCAGCCTGCCTGCTGGTCGAACTCCTGGGTGAGGGGACAATTTGCATATTAGCCTTTTATTATATAGGATATACACCGAATGCCTAGATTTTTTTTTTTTTTTTTTTTTCTGGAAATTAAGACCTTCATTAAATGTCTGATACAGCTCATTAATGCAGGGATTCAACAGCAGCAGCCACATTCACTGTATGTCTCAATGTAATATACTGTCTGGGTCAACAGTCAGTGGTGTACACAGCTCTGAGAGCCAACTCTCGCCCAGCCTTCCAAATACTGGTTCCGCGAGTGTTTTCCGACTTCTTTCCACAGCTGTTCTTCGAGTCTGTTCAAACATTGCCTCCAAATCAAATGTACGAGCTTTTTTCCCGAACCCCGTGAAGCCCATGGTGACCGCCAGCTGCGGGTCCGGTCCCGACGCCTCAGAGCCTTCGCTGGGCCCCGGGCGCTCCATCGCCGCCGCCCGCCGCAGAGCCGGCTGCGGGAGACCAAACACCGAATGCCTAGATTATTATGCATTCAGGATCACAATAATCTGGCCACTCAGTATATATTATATTATTGAAAGTAGAGGGAGAAAAGAGAGGGAAGAATGGGAAAAGGAGAGAGAGATGGGGGGAGGGAGGGAGACGAATCCATTGGTTGCCTCCCAAAGGTGCTCCGACAGGGACTGGGGATTGAACCTGCAACCTAGATACATGCCCTAGATCAGTGTTTTTCAACCTTTTTTGGGCAAAGGCACACTTGTTTCATGAAAAAAATCACGAGGCACACCACCATTAGAAAATGTTAAAAAAATTTAACTCTGTGCCTATATTGACTATATATAAAGTAATTCTCTTGAATAGGAATCAAATAAACACAAAGAAAGTATTTTATAATTACTTTATTATGAAATATTAAGTAAACAAAATAGTGAAAAATTATAAAATTCTTGTCTTGTCTGCACCTACGGCACACCAGGCAACATCTCGCGGCACACTAGTGTGCCGCGGAACAGCGGTTGAAAAACGCTGCCCTAGATACATGCCGTTAACCGGCAATCAAACCCAGACCCTTTGGTGCTTGGGCCACTTAGCCACACCGGCCAGGGCCAGAATATTAAAAATTTAAAATATCAGGTCCTGACTGGTGTGGCTCTGTTGGTTGGGTATTGTCTTATGCACCAAAAAGTTGCTGGTTCTATTCCCGATCAGGGCATATGCCCAGTTTGTGGGCTCAATCCCAGGTTGGAGGCATGCAGGAGGCATCGGATCATGTTCCACTCTCACTTTAATGTCTCTCTCTCTCTCTCTCTCTCTCTCTCTCTCTCTCTCTCTCTCTCT